AAAAGAAATATTTGTTTACTTCTTTCTTTCCATTAGCAAAAAGAATATTTGTATTGGTAGAAATTGATCTATTGGTTATCATCCACTTATCTGATCACTCCTCAGTCTTCTTTGTTGTATCATCATTCATTTCCTAAACTCCAAACCATGGTCATATCCCAAGATCCTGTCCTGTCCTCTCCTGTCCTCTCCCTTCTTCTCCTCTCCTCTCCTCTTCTGCCTTCCTTCTATAGTCTTGCTCAGGAACCCCATCAGCTCATATCATTTGATTATCATCTCTATGCAGATAATACCCAGGTCTATATATAGAGACCTAGTCATTCTCCTGAACTTAAGACAAATATTACCAACTCCCAAGTACATTTCAAATGGATGTTCTGTGGGCATTTCAAACTTAACAGGTCCAAAACAGAGCTCATTATCTTTCCCAGCAGATGCACTCCTCTGAACTGTCCTCTTTCTGTTGAGGGCTCCACTGTGTTTCCGGTCACCCCAGTTTGCAATAGTGATATTATCCCTGACTCCTCACTATTAGCCACTCTGCATCTTGCCACTTCCATGTCCACAAAACCTCTTCCATCCACTCCCTTTTCAGTCACTGGCCGACCATTGGGTAAGTCATAATTAATGTCTACCTCATTTTCCTCACCTGTTAAACAGGATCATACATAACCTACCTCAGGAGGTTTTGGTGAGATCAGTTAGACTGCTTTGAGTTCTTAAATGGTCATTCAACATTCAGAATAAAGCTAGTTTCTGACTCCATGTCATCACTCACATTTTTTTTTCCTTTTCTGCCTCTACTCTCATTGATCAACTTCAGGTCCTCATCACCTCTCATCCATTTGTATAGGAACAGCCTCCTAAATGATCTTCCTGCCCCAGGTCTCTCTCTATCTTCCACAGAGTGGCCAAAATGATTGCCCTAAAGGGGAGGTCTGACCATGCAACTCCTTTACTCAATAAATGGCACTTGTTTCCTATTGCCTGCAGGATCAAGCATTTGTATAGCTTTCTTTTCTTTTCTTAAAAACTGGGTTTCCCTATCTCTCCTACAATGGAAGTGAAGGGGCTATTCACCAGGTTCCACTCTAATCAGATGGTTCAAAAGTCTTAGTGTAATTTTAAGCTTTAATAGACTTTTAGGGTATCTTGTATAAGGGTAGCTCTTGAGGTAGTGGGGCAACCAGGTCAATGACATTAATCCATAGGAGATTCAACAGTTTGTCAGGTCTGAAGAGCTCTCCTCCCTTCTTGATACCAGTTTATATAAGATTCTCTCCCCACTCAAACCCCCAAAGTGGATGGTAGTGCACTTCATCTATCCCTGTTCTGGGTCTCCATGTGATTAACACAACTCATGTCCTCCATTCTTTTCACTCATTCCTTCATTTTTGCTTCCAAAGAGCTTTATTTTATGTTATTTTTGATTGCAGAAAAAATTTTTAGTGTTCATTTTTTACAATTTTGAGTTCTGAGTTCCCACCCTCCCTTCTCTCCCTTCCCTCCCCCCTCCTGGAGAAGGCAAGCACTTTGATATAGATTATACATTTACAGTCACACAAAAACATGTTTCCATACTAGCCATGTTGCAAAAAAGAACACAGACCAAAAAATGTAACAGGAAAAAAGAAGTTAAAAAGTATATTGCAATCTGCATTCAGATTCTATCAGTTCTTTCTCTGGAAGTGGATAGCATTTTTTATCAAGAATTGCCTTGGATCACTGTATTGTTAAGAATAGCTAAGTTGTTCACAGTTGATTCACAGTACAATATTGCTGTTATTCTGTACAATGTTCTTCTGGCTCTGCTCACTTCACTCTGAATTTATTTGTGTAAGTTTTTCCAGGTTTTTCTGAAATCATCCTACTTGTCATTTTTTTTATAGCATAGTAGGATTCCATCACAATCACACATCATAACTTGGTCAGTCATTCCCCATTGATGGACATCCCCTCAGTTTTCAATTCTTGTCACCACAAAAAGAGCTGCTATATATTTTTCTACATAAAGGACACTTTTCTTTTTTCCTCTTCTTTCCTTTCCTTTCTTTTCTTTCTTCTTTTTGGAGTACAGACCAAATAGCGGTATTGCTGGATCAAAGGGTATACACATGGTTATAGTTCCAAATTGCTCTCCAAAGTCATTGGATTAGTTCACTACTCCACCAACAATGCATTAGTAATTGATTTTTCCATATCCACTTTAACATTTATTGTTTTCCTTTTCTGTCATTTTAGCCAACCAGATGTGAGGTGTTACCTCAAAGTTGTTCTAATGTGCATTTCTCTAATCAATAATGATTTAGACTATTTTTTTTCATATGACAATAGATAGCTTTGATTTCTTCATTGTAAAAACCGCCTGTTCATCTTCTTTGACCATTTGTCAATTGGGAAATTAGTCATATTGTTGTAAATTTGACCCAGTTCTCTATATACTTGAGAAAAGAGCTCTTTATTAGAGAAATTGCTGTAAAAAATTTTTCCCTACTTTTCTGCTATGTAAATAGCTCCTTGACAGAAACACAGGGATCTTGAGATTTTTTTAAAGTCAAACTACTGTGGAACCTTTAGGGCCCAGCCCAGCCTCCTCCCACTGCTGCTGACCCCACCCTCCCCACTTAGTCACCTTTTCAATAGTCTCTGGCAACCTTGGGAGCAACCTCAGACACTGCTCCTTAAGTTCCAAGGTAGGAGCTGTCCCCACCCAAGTTACAGAATGACTCAGTTCTTCAACTGGATAACAGGCCAAGCAGCCCCAGAAAATTTCACTGGAGCTTAAAGAAACCATCACAACCCAATAGCTCAGGAAAATTGGAGAGAACAGTTACAACAGGTACTTTTAATCCTTCTTGTAACTGAAAACTGTCTGTCTCTGGATCTTTCTATCACTGCTGTCCCTTGGGTTCCAGAAATAGGTGTGGGTCTGAGCCCAAGTATTTCTATGATCAAGATGTTTTTGTTTTTGCCATAGGGTCCATTATGTCCCATGGGGCTAGCAGATTCCTCCTTTGCTCACTGGGAGTGGGCACTAATGGCTGATGAGCTGGGTTCAGTGTGGAAACTCTTAGGGATATATTTACCTAAGAGTGGAAACTACAACATTGGTGGGATCTTTGAATGGCAGTATGGTTTGAAGGCTGGTTTGCTGTTCCCACTTGTTGTTCTGAGGGATATAGGAGATGATGCCTGTGGTTAAGGGGAGATCTCTGCTAAGAAAACTGAGCGGAGTGCCCAGGGGTGCCAGGGAAGATGAACCATCGTGAATTTATTTAGTCCAGTAGCCAAGTCCTGCTGAACCATGGCCCACGGGGCTTCTTCACCTAGCAGAGCTAAGTGATATACTGAAGTGCTCTGCCTGGATTCAAGAAGACCCAAGCTCAAATCTGACTTCAAACACTATTAGCTATTTGACCTTGAGGATGTCACTTAATCTCTGCCTCAGTTTCTTCAACTATAAAATGGGGGTGATAACAGTACTTAACTCCAAGGGTTGTTATAAGGATTGAATGATATAATATTTATAAAAGGCTTAGTACACTAACATTTGTAAAGTGCTTATCTTGGCCCATTGTAATTTATTAAGGCTCCCAATAAATTCTTGTTTCCTTCCTTCCTCAGCCACACCTTTCTGGATAGAGGAGCTGAGGTAAAGTTAAGTATGGGGCTATAACTGGATCTAGACCTGAAGAAAGTCCTACAAATCAATGACCTTTAATCTATTCTTACAGGAGAAGAGAGAATCATATCATGAAGACAGGCAACTGCAATTCACAAGCTCAAGGTAAGCAGACAATTTGGTGGACAACATTGGCTCTCAGGCTAGTAAGAATGAGAAAATTTAGCTGTGGGGCAATGGAAAAACCACTTGTTCTGAAGTTAGACATCCTGGGTTCAGATTCTTCCTCTGATGCTTACTGCATGTGTGTTCTTGGGTAAATCATTTAATATCCTTGGGCCTCGGTTTCCTCATACAATAATAATAATAATAATAATAATAATAATAATAATATAATACAACAACTAGCATTTATATAACAAATACTATGTGCCAGGAACTGTACTAGGAGCTTTACTAATATTATTTCATTTGATCCTCGCAACAACTTTGGGAAATAGGTGCTTTTATTATCCTTATTTTATAATTGAGGAAAGTGAGGCAAATAGAGGCTAATTTATTGGCTCAGGTCACACGGTGGGGAGGGTCAGCTTGGAGAAAAGAAGACTCAATGGGGAAATGATCACCATCTTTAAGGATTTAAAGGTCAATCCTGGGGAGAGAGATTTGGCCCATCTTGTTTGCTCCGGAAGACTAAAACGGTAAAGACTACAGTTTACAAAGAGGTAAATTTAGACTCAATGTTAGGAAAAACCTTCTAACAATTAGAGCTGTTCCAAAGTGGAACTGAGCTGTCTCTTGATGTGATGGGGTTCTCCACATTAAAGGTTTTCTTAAAAAAAAAAAGAATGGATATTTGCTGGACATACTCAGTGTTTGGGTGTGGGTTGGTTAGATGGGCTCTAAGTTCCCTTCCACTTCTGAAATTCTGCAGTTTCCTCCTTCACGATCACAGCTCTTTGGTCATCACAGTAGGGATTTATATATAGAGAGAAAGTGGCCATGTGTGGATTCTGTTGGGTGACTGTATTCCATCAATATCAGTCCATCCTTCTCCATAGGCTGACACAGAATTTGAAATTTCCTGGAAACCAACCCATTAAGTCAGTTTTAAACCTCATCGGTCAATGACGTTTACATTGTAACAACTGTCATTTAGAAGCAGCAGAACAGCCTAACTTCAGGGGAATTCGTGACATCCATCAGCAAGTCTTGGTCCTTCAAGAGAAGACCCTCATAGCAGTTCCTCAGGATGTAGACGTGCACCCAAGTGAGTAGGAAACCTGGCCCTATTTTCTCTTTCTTTGAGGCAGTCTCATGCTTTGGGTGACCTTCTCTTTACAGTGTCCCCTAGGACAGATACCTGTAGCTCAAAAATTCCAGGGATGACTTGGGCAGTTATTGGGCATAAAGTTTGGGAGAAAAGGAAAATATTTTTTTTTTGTTTTGTTTTGCTCTTTTGGTGAGACAATCAGGGTTAAGTGACTTGCCCGGAGTCACACAGCTAGTAAGTGTCAAGTGTCTGAGGCTGGATTTGAACTCAGGTCCTGTTGACTATAAGCCAGAGCTCTATCCACTGTGCCACCCAGTTGCCCTGAAAGTCTTATACCAGGTAGCGAAAGATGGTAGGGGAATGGGCAGGCTGGCCTTTGTCAGAGTTAAATTGTGCTATTCCATGGAGTCAGAGACAAAAGAGCAGTAGAATAATGCTTGGGGAGGATGGAGGTGGGAGAAAAAATTCAGGTTGACTAATCTTTTGCAATCCAACTTGGGAGGATTCTAATGCCAAGGAATTATGGGAAGAATGGGGCTGGGAGGAGAGATAATGGGAGGAGAGGAACAGAATGAGCACCAAGGTGGAGTAAATGAATTTGGCCTAGGTTGCTGAGATCCAGGAAAGAGGTGGGGAGCTTTCTTCATATGACATTTTTTTACAGGCAAACTAAGGTGGCACTTTGGATAGAGCAATGAAGTTGGCATAAGGGAGATCTGTGTTAGACTCCTCCCTAAGAGTTTTTGTCACCTTGGGCAGTTATTAGGCATGAGAGGCTCTCTGAGTCACATTTTCCTCATTTGTAAAATGAGGGGGTTGCATTTGATGACCCATAAGGTCTTTTTAGGTTCAAATTTATAACTTTATTGTAGCAAGTTGAACTGGACCCAAGGCCCCAGGTAGTATGTAGAGTGACCCATAAATGGATCTGGGATATGGAATTCCACACTTCGCATCTCATAATGCCACTTCTACCTTTGTGGCAAGTAAGAGGATGACTGTGATTGGGTGATAACTCCCTAGCTCTCCAATCTTCAAAAGGGCTATAGGGCCAGAATTATATCTATCTATTGCACATCAGATATGTGCCATCTGGAAGTACAATGCTTTCTTGGTGTTTAGGGTAAAAGCCACTTTTGCTAGTCACTCTGGGATTAAGTAGTCCTCTCCTAGAACAAAAGGGTAACAGTTAATCACATCTCAGCCAGCTTGTATCCCATTCCACAAAATGCTAATTACATAAAAAATGATCATGTATAATGAACAAACATAACTAGCAAAGCAAACAGTAAAACAGTAATTAGGGAAGTTATACCAATTAGTTTGGGCAGAAGAATACATATGAGTGAGGTGTATCTGGGATTTGGAAGGGAAGGGAAATCTCAGCTCTACCAAGGGAGGAACAATCTTACCCCAGAGGTCTGCTCTTTGTAGCCTTTGGGAANTACATATGAGTGAGGTGTATCTGGGATTTGGAAGGGAAGGGAAATCTCAGCTCTACCAAGGAAGGAACAATCTTACCCCAGAGGTCTGCTCTTTGTAGCCTTTGGGAGTGCAGGTTCTGGGAATCAATGAACAAACATATTGGAGTGCTAGCTCCTCCTGGGCATCTCCTGTTAGCCAAAAATCAATCCTTTCTCTCTCATTCCACCTCTGTTTCTCTGTTTCTCTGCTTCTCTACCAGAAGTTTTTCAGCTAATCAGGAGTCATATCTTCATCATGTGTACCATACCAGCAACACAAAACTATCTTTCAAGAGACTGCCAAGCCTGCCTAGTCAGGGGTGTTACCTGAAGGGAAATCAGATGAAGCAAATTGCAAGCATGGCTGAAGCAACAGTGTGGGAGATTGCTCTTTTGTGAGGTCAGAAGTCCCTCCCCTGGGATGCTTCCTGGGAGGACTGTGCTCAAATTCAGGAGCTAGGATTCCTATCAGGGATCCCAAAGTCCAAAGGAAAAATGGAATCAATATGAGGACTAGGTCATTGAACAGATGACCTCTCCACCCAGGCATGTATGGGAGATTCCCATAGACCTAGGCTTTTCATTTCCCTTTCCTTCCCTGGGCACTTCCAGCTCAATATCCTTAAAGTTCAAGTCCAACTGTGGCATTCCCTTGCTCTTCTCTTTAAATGGATGGTGCCCTCTTCCATCACCCTCCTCTTTCTCAGAAATGGATTCTTGATCCTCACATTTTTTTCACCCTGTGTGGTCACTGATTCTTTTATTCCCAGTCTCAATGATGAGCATACCATGCCGAGATCAGTCTCTTGAAAAAGACAAAGGCAATCCTATTTACCTGGGAATAGCAGAGACTGAACTGTGCCTGTGCTGTGAAGAGAGTGGAGAGCAGCCCATATTGAAGCTTAAGGTGAGTGTTATAGCATCTCACTGAATTTCAGCATGGGAAGGGATTTCTGAGTTCACCAACAATAGCTGAATTAGAATCTCCTAGAAAGTATGACCAAGTAGGGATCATTTAGGTTCCAGTGAAAGCTCTTGGGTTGTAGTAAAAGAACTTTTGCCTTATCATGCTCAAAACCAGGCCATCATGCCATGTCTGGGCCATTTCCAAACCTCACCTACCCTCCATATGATTTCTAACTTTGTTTTATATGTTGTCTTCCCCTATTGGAATGTAAGCTCCTTGAGGGAAGGGATTGCCTGACTTACTCATATTTGTAAAGCCAATACTTTGCACAGTGTCTTACGTGATAAATCCTTTATAAATGCATTTTCCTTTTTTCTTCCCTCCACT